CCTGACAGAGATTTTGACAGTGCTTTCTGAAGCAGGAAATCCTTTCGCTTAATATGTTTAAATTTTCCAAACACCAAGGAAAACACATAGATCCCCACAGGAGAACTCTTCAAGATGACAGAATAAACATCTACACAGCTGAAATATTTGACGTTTATTGACATTTTAGGTGGCTTATTTAGAACGGTGATCTTAGAACGAGGAAGTTAGAGACCTTTTGAAGTCTCATTAAATTTACATCTTGCTTTTGAGCAACAGAGACCCACCAAACATTCCTAAGTATGTATTTCTCTCGGGGTTTCAAAGACCAAGAGGAAGAACTGCCCTTTGCAGCGTAAGATTTATTCTGGAAAAATTAAAGCTCCTAATGCGTTTAAAAACATTTGGTGGGTTTTTTCCTTTCTGTTGTAAGCAAACATTTAAAACTGAAGTAAGCAGAAGAGATAAAAAGTTTCAGGGGAAAAAAAAAAAAGGATAGCATGTTTCATGTAGTTTGTTTAAATTTAAAAATGAGCACAGGAAAATTTGGAATAAGTGGAAATGTGGTGTAGTGTATCATTGGAAGTTTTTAACGTTAGATACCACATATAAAGGTTCTTTTATTTTCCATCTCGTACTGACACAGTTCACAAGGCATCTGCCAAAACACAGACTGCTGTTTTGGTGTGTAAAATAAATTAATAATATGGATCTGTATACATACATATATGTGTGTGTGTGTATATAGGTTATATGATTTTAGGTATATAAACATGTATGCACACAGCGTTTTGTATGTTGCTGACAAATACATGACATGCAGTTTTTAGCCAAGCACTTCACTGCTGTCAGAGTTTTCCCAAGGCCTACAAGGGTCTGGAAATGAGCAGCCATCCCCTCTCAGCAGTTCTGCTCAGTGACAGACGGCTTGAGTCACGCTTCGCCTTTGGAGAGAGGAGAAAAAAAGAATGAGTAATCATTTTGTTTGAATTGCAATAAGTATGAAATATTTCTCAGGAGCCAAAAAAAATCTTGGAAAAGCAGAAAGACATTCTTAAATGGCTGGTCATAATAGGAGCATTGTCACATTGTAACGCTTCTTTCTTAAAGGGAAGAAAGTGTTGGGGCTTCAAAATGTTTCATTCATAATTGTATGAAGCGAGCATGCAGGATAGCACTTTTAGAATTTAAACTAGTAATTAAAAGTGAAATAACTGCAATTACCTGCTTTTGCTTTAATAAGTGCAATTTGTCTTTGACGTGAACATCTAGTGAAAATGCACTACCTCTTCCCTTAGAGCCCAGGAGTACGATTATAGGAAGAGTGAAAGTATTACCAAGTTTCCTGGGTTGCCAGCAAGGTGCCTTTCTGCAGCCAATTTGCATTTTAGTTTCGTAACATTTTGGCTGTTGAAGCCATTATGTCTGTAGATACTGGCTGCATAGTGCTTTTAAGGAGGCAAAGAGTGCTGTTGGGGAAAAGTCCACTTCTCTCCCTCCCTCCACCCCTTCCTAAAAATGACAGATTTTTTTTTTTTTTTTTTCCTAAGAAGGAACAGTCTGATTTGAAAACTGCCATTGTCTTTGAAATTTGCTTCTTTAAAGTAGAACTTTATGTTTCAAGATAAAGCGCATGTGCTGGCTATAGTTTTCTGGGTTAAATTCTTATTTTCACTTTGAAAATTTCTTTTCAGCTGGAAAAATGTTTTAAATTATAGCCATTAGAAAAAATTGCTCCTAGCAAGCAAAAATACTGTGGAAAACCTGTAATTTAGACAAGTACCTACATTTTATTTTCTCTGTGCTGCTGAAATTTAGAATCCCTTCCCATTTACAGTTTACTTTTCACAGAACATTATTAACTTTTTGGCTTCATACATGATCTTCTGTCAGATGCTTTTGATTTGTAATTTAGCAAAGTATAATAAACAGTGCAAAAGTCATGAATTTTCCTCCGCATACTGAGCTCTGTGGTAGGGAAAATGTGATAAAATGTGTACCTTAAGTCTTGTTTGATGATCTCTCAAAGCAAGTTTGCCTTCTGGAAATAATTTCTGGGGTTGAAGAGCATGGTATTAACAGATTTAATGTGGCTATTCAATGGATTGGTGGAGTACTATGTGAGGTTTAACAAAATGAGAGAGACAAATTGAACATCAACAAAACCTACATCTGTGAAGAATTATAAATTTAATTAGAAAAAAGGCAAACTTAAAAGACCTCATTAACTAATCAGAATTTGATGTTACTGATTTAGGATTCTTAACTGGATGAATTTGAAGTAGCTTTGCTATCATTGTCCTTTTTTTCTCACTTTGTACTACATAGTGCCTGGATCTTCAATTTGTATTAAGAAAAAACTTACGAATGTTACTTACAACAATCAAATTATACACAATAATGTTTTTGAGGTATTAAGGAGGATGTGAATGTCTCGTTTATCATATACAGCATTTTTAGTTTTAGCAGAGCACTGTGTATGAAGGGAATGTCAGAGCTCCTTTTTTTTTTTCTTTCTGTTTTTTTAATTTAATTGTGCCCCATTTCTGGGTGGGTAAGGCCATGGCATTTGGGGGATTTCTCCACTTTTTGTTTGATATGTGAGTTATGTTGCAGAACTTCAATTATCCAGAAATCTGTTGACAAAATGGGAGAATGTATGAGAGCAAGAACACACCACCCAGAAATGTTTTTATTCTATGAACTAACTGTTCGTCATGAGTGTGGTTCCTTACTACGTTGTAATTTTGTACTACACATAAAAAACTGAAAGCATGTGAAGTGTAGCATTTTGTAAACTGTAACTAATTTCACTCACATCTGTGTCTAATTGTTGTCTGCATTCGCATTCTTGAGAGTAGATTTATTTTTCCTGGACCACTCTGTGGATTCAGCTGACCAGCCTAAGTGAGGATTAGTTGTTTTAAAGTTATTTTGATTAAAGAGTCATTTTTAAATTTGGTAACGTGCAACACATGGTTTAAATAATCCTTGAGACACAAAGGAATATATCTAAAGTATGTCTAATGAAAATGAAAATTGTGGATATGAACTTTCACAAATCATAAAGTGTTGGAGGACAGTTAAGTTATATATTTAATTCACTTCAAATGAGCTGGTTATTTTTTTTGCTTTCCCCCATGCATCTATAAATAAAACCTCTCTCACTATGTACACACATGCACATGTACATATGTATATTTGCAAATGCACAGAAGTTATTATTATTTTAAAAATTGGTAATTAAAGTAGGATTACATGTATTTTAGAATTTAATCAAATATGAATTATTCTGTAGGGCACATTAGAAAATATCAGTTAATTAAAGGATCCATTTGAAATGGAAGTTTTTCCTATTACAAAAGATATGTTTTAAAGGATCCTGTGCAAGAGGGAGTGAAGATAGCTCTGTAAGCAAACTTAGTTCTCACCTATAATTTTTTCCAGGTGTTTAGAAGTAACAGCAGAAACATATCCTAAGGCACTCCGCAGCAGTTTCTGGGGTAAAGAACTGAGGAAAGAAAAAATCTTTGAAACAAAATGCACAGTTTTGACTTTATCTGCTAGTCTGGTTTGATTTGGCATGCAACGACGTATTGAGAAGCGTGTTATGCAGCACTTTAAGTACCCAGTTATAAAAAGATTGATGTTTTTCAGCATGTATTATTGCATGCTTTTTGACATCGTTTGTAATTTTCCTCATTGCCTGGCTGCCCCTAGCAGTTGTTTACTCTTGCTAGTAGTAATTCTGTCTGTGATTAAAAATAACAAAAACCCCACCCCACAGACACATAAGTAGGATTTGCTTGGATGATTTTTATGGCACTTAAAATGCCTCATCTCCCTTGTCTTTGCTCTGTGATCATTTAAGAGATGTCAGTTCAGGCTGAATGGAAACGCACATGAAGGATCCTCACTGCAGATGTTAAGAGGATATATACCTTGCCCAGAGAAGCTTTTGTGTGCTTTTATGCTAACAGTGTCTAGCAGTGTCAGTGTATCTTCACCTGAATTTTATCACCTGCTGACAATCATTAGTGGCTAGAGTGTGTTAGCAAAGCAACAGTGTTCTTCTAATAGGATATGAAAACTATTACTCACCTGAGTTATAAAAGCAGTAATTTTATTAAACTGGAAAATTGTTGCTGGGCTTCCCAGTGGAACCAGATTCCTTTTCCTGATGAGTGACCTCAGAGGTAAATGCTACAGCTTCCTCCTATTTATTTAGCCAGAATTGGTTTTTAAGTCATTTTATCAGAAATCTCATAAGCGACTGGAATTTTTATGAGTAGTACTTTGTGCAATAATGTGTGGGGTTTTGATTTTAATTCGCCCTGGCTGGAGATGGGGTTGTTTTAGAGGTGGTTGTATAATACTGTTGGCCATATATTAAAGATCTTTACCACAGGTAGACCTGCCCATTGTTGTCATTCCCACCCTTCCCCCAGAAACATTAGTGTCAGCCGCTCCACCTTGCCTTTGGGGTGAACGTGGCTTGCGGGTTCCCCGTGGCCCAGGCACGGAGAAAGGATGGCGAAGAGCAGAGGAAAGCCAACACAATGAGGGCAAGAATCTGTGAAGAGTTAAGGGGAAGGGAGGGATGAGAAGAGGCAAGAGGGGTGGAGGATGCTGAGGGGCTTGGGGCTGGAGCAGCTCTCGCTGCCCTCGGCCGGCGCGGCAGGGTTACCTTTGCGGGGGTGCGTGGCGGAGCCGTGCCGTGCCGTGCCGTGCCGTGGGAGGAGTGAGCCCCTCTGCAGCTGTCACGGGCCCCTGATGAATCACTATCCCGTCACTTGGCTGCCGTCCCCCAGCGCAGGGAGGAGGGAGAGAGACCTGCCGGGGAAACAACAGTTGAGCCTTCAATTTAAAAGACAATATGCCTTTCACGGGCACCGCACCCACCTCTCTCCCTTTGGATTTAAAGAACAGAATTGTCATCTGCGGTGATACCCTTTCTTTAAATTAAGGCCTCGTAGTAAAGCGGAGTAATAGAAGCTTCTGTTTGTTTCCCTGGTTTACAGGTGCAGAAGTCCCAAACTAGTTCAGATGTTGCTGTTTCCTCAAGCTGCAGGTAAGGATTTGACTGAAAATTGCTATCTTTCTGCAAGCCTTTTTAGTGTTGGGGTTTTTTTTTAACTTCAAGTGATAAGTAAAACATTTATTCTTATTTTCCATGTTACATGGATGAATAGGTGCTGGAGTGGTACTTATATGTGCGTGCAAACAAGTCTGTAAGCCATGAGCACATACACTTTTTCAGTAAATTGTTTGACTTTATATAAGATACTGTCTTTTTGAACTCATTGCGATATCATCCTTCTTTATGTGTAGATCAGATGAGGTAAACAAATATAAAATGAAGGATATTTGTTTAGAACTTGTGATAAAATGCCAGTTAAAATGTGAAAACTTCATAGCTGGAATGACACTTAGGCTTAAGGATATTCATACCATTACTGCAGGAGGAATTTTTTATACAATTTTAATAGTCTTTAAAAGAGCCTAAATACTTCTTTTAAAGTGAAAAATTGCTAGTTCAAATGCCTTGGAGGCAGAGTCAGCTATGAAGTTTCTACTGGGAACAATTACTTAGAATGAGTACATCAAATAACATCAAAAGTTTTAGGTATAAAGTGGAAGGATGGGACACTTCCGTCATAAGCCCCAACATCAACCAAAGGATATGTCATGGTTGCGATGGCTGTTGGCCTTTATATATAAAGCTATTGAAACCACCAGTCTGAAATATCCAGCGGCTTTTGTGCAGGTTAAACTTTTAATTTTTGCTTTGAATCGGAATTGTTCTCTTCTTATTTTGCCTAAGCAACAGCTGCTGAGATCCAGCAGAGTGCTAAGGCACACTAACGCCTGTATGGATTCACTGTATGTTGCTCGTATCCCTTTGCAATTGGGGCACGCTCTGTGTAATCCACAAAGCAAACAAGTGAGCAGACATAATAATGTTTTAATGCTGCATTTGTTTCAACGGAAACAGAGGAACAATTAAGTAGTTTGCCAGAGTAAACACATACATCAGGAATATCTCATTCCCTGTCAGTAGATGATAGGTTTCCACAATTGCTTCAAGTGTTTTATTTGGTTTGGAGGGCCATTATATTGCCACTGAGTGGTAAATCCTGAAAAAGCAGAGTGTTAATTTGTTGTTAAGAGAATATATGCCTTCATATGTTGGTGATTCCATCTTTGTAGGTGTCTTAAAAACAGAAGGTTACGTGAATGTTTAAAGTACAGTACTTGGAATCTAAATTTTATTCTATTACAAACTGTAAAAATAATTACAGTAGCTGGTCAGTTGTGTTTGGGGCTAAAACATGAATTAAGCACTGGAATAAGTCAAGTTGGGAGAAGCTGTTAATTTTTTTAATGGTTTTGTGATATTGATTAATAGTGGGCTGCATCTTGTAAAAGCAATTCCTGTGTAATTCATGTTGAATATGTCACTAAGAGTAGTTGCATCTTGTAAAAGCAATTCCTGTGTAATTCATGTTGAATATGTCACTAAGAGTAGTTGCATCTTGTTTTCAGGTCTATGGAAATGCAGGATCTAGCCAGCCCACATAGACGACTAAGTGGTAGTAGTGAATCCCCCAGTGGTCCAAAACTTGATAACTCCCATATAAATAATAATTCCATGACACCCAATGGCACAGAAGGTAAGCCTTTTTTTTTTTTTTTTTTTTTTTTTTTTTTTTTTTTTTTTTTTTTTTTTTTTTTTTTTTTTTTTTTTTTTTTTTTTTTTTTTTTTTTTTTTTTTTTTTTTTTTTTTTTTTTTTTTTTTTTTTTTTTTTTTTTTTTTTTTTTTTTTTTTTTTTTTTTTTTTTTTTTTTTTTTTTTTTTGAGGGTTTCATAATGTATTTGTTCTCCTTGTTGCATTGGTGTTGTTGCAGTCAGCAAGCTATATAACGTTTTACTATTTTAGATGTTCTGTGTTATTGATATGATGCATAAATCAATGTTCAGTGTTTATCAGTAGTTACTATTATCAAGTTTCAGCAATAGCTTTTGTTCCAGGTTTATGTTCCTTCCATGGAGTTTAAATGGACTGAGCAGGTACTATGTGCAGAGCTTAAGGTAAAAAAAGACAAAAAGCCTGAAAGGGAAGTTTAATGATGAGGGAGGAAAGTAGGTGTTTACAATTGCCAAAATACAAAATGCAATTTTTCAGTCTTTTTCACTATTTTGGTATTCCTTTTTATTCCCACTTTTTCCAAGCTCCTGAGGCTATGAAAGTTTTGTCAAGTAGACTAATAAAACTGTGTGTTGAAAGTTCCTCAGGCTAGCTTGCTGCTCTGATGGAGTGGCCAAAATTCAAACAGGTGTAGTAATTCAATGGGGTAAACTGATACCTATTTTTCAAGAAGCAGTCAGGCAGTTGATAAGTTATGTTTGTTCTCAGTAGAATACTAACAACAGAACAACCTAACAGCTTTTCCAGTAATATAATACATCTAGAATACATATAATAGTACATATAATGAAGCACAGAAGGGTTTATACAACAAGCAGCAAAAAATTCTCTTTCCTGTAAGATTTCCGCAGCAGTAGTGGGAAAGATCATGCATGACATTTGGCTAGCTATGTGAACAGACACTTAATGCATTACTAGGAGAGAGTGTCACACAGCTTCAATATTACTGTTCAATATAAAAATATAGGTAAACAACTGTTGTAACAGAGATATACCTTTTCTTTCCCCTAAGAATTAGGTCATATTAGTGCTGTCAGACTGTTAAGGATTATGGACATGCATTGCATGCTCCCAGGAAAGGCGCATGTCAATCAAACAAATGTCGTCCCCCCTCAATTCCCTAAACATCTCTGTTATTCATTCTAACTGGAGTCCTTGTTAGTGGGGAGGGTTTATGTGTTATCAGATTAACAGGTGTTTGTGCCAGAGTTGTGCAAAATTTAGTTTTTGCTATTGCTGTAGAAGTATTGCAATAAAATTTTAAGCCATTTGAAAAACAAAAAAACTTTTAAAGAATAAATAAAGTGCTTACTGTGTTCATGTAGTTTAAGCAGAAAAATATCTCATGATCACAGATGAGTCTTCTTTCTTTAAAATACACAAGTATGTTATTAGACTTTTATATCATATTATGAGGTGAATACCACTTTTGGTGCAGAATGAAGTTACTTGACCCTTTCAAATTAAAATTCCTCTACTTCACAAAAGCCTTTGCTGTAAACTTCACCAGCTTTAGTACCTTCTGTGTAATTTCAAGGTTTTTTGGTACCCCAAAAATAGAGAGTGTTCCTTAAAACACTGAGAGTCATCTGACTTGACTTTTTGTTCAATATGTAGTTGCTGTGTGCTGACATACACTCTGAAAAATGCTTAATATTACTATGTCAGGATATGAGCCATATGTTGTATCTATTTATTAATGCACTCTCCTCAGGTAGCAAATAATTTTGGAAATAGTATCCCAACTTATAGGTGGGTATCAGAGTTTATTGAAGAAATTCAGGTAAACCTGACAAGGTGACTTGTTTATCTGACACTATAATTTGAAAGTTTAAAAGCGTTTGGGGTGAATTCTACCCAGAAAGCTCTAACTTGCAGTACGTGTTTGCCTCCTGAGATGAAGCCAAACGGTTTTCTTTTGTTTGCCATTTTCCCTCAGGTGACATGACCCTCCTCAGCACTGCAGACTGGTTGCTCAGCCCTAGCACACAGACCCCCGCAGGTTTGCGTGGCTGCAGTGGGCGCTCAGCATGCGTTTTTCCGATGTTGTTCAGAAAGCGTCCCAAAAAATAGCTTGTGCTTGATGATTCGGGTCTAAGCTTTCTAATTTGAAAATTCCTGTCTCTGATTACTCTTAAGTGACAAATAAGGAGAAGTTTGTCAAAGAAGCACAGTAGAATAATTTATTTCTGAATTAGATGTGTGCCAAGAGACAAAATTCATAAGTGAATCAGATGCCTGAGAATCTGAAGGTGCAATTTTTACTGCTAATCTGTCTAATCTTGAGAAAATGTTTTGTTAAGCTCCTTGATCTGCTAAAGAGACTTAAGAAAAAGTGGAGTGAATGAAGCAAGAGTTTCCTATTTTTTTTAATGAAAGGTGAAGTAAAATTATTTTTTTCTGGGGTTCTTGAAGCAGAATCCTTCTGAGACACAAGTGGCTGATTCTAAGGATGGAGTCGTAAGGGTTCACCAAACACCTTTCTTAAAATGTGGCGGTGTGGTATGCTTGCTTGTTGCACATGGAGTGGAGATGTGAGATGCTGAATCTTCTCATGTTAAATATAATATGGGAAACCAGCTTCCGTTCTACCATGCTCTCATTCTCACTAACATGAAAGATCCCTCCTTTTTTGGTATAATGGATCTTTATGTGAACAAGAAGCAGGGCCTCTAGCTATTTGCATGTTATAAATATCTTGTAAAGATATGTTAAATTTGATTTGACTATGGGTGTGACTTGGGCAGGTTTCCATACCCTGAAGTGCAGGATATGTTCGCTAGATGAGGGGGAGGGGAAAAATAAAAAAGAAGAAGAAGAAAAAAATACCTGTCCCAAAGTGAAATGGCCACATTTCAAACAAATGTTCATTAATTCCTCTAAGGCACATTTTCAGACTTGTCTCTTATTGATGTTATTCTACAAGAGGATGTGGTTGGAAGATAGCTCACTGTTTTTAGCTAATATTTTTAGCTTCACACTTAGTTGTAAATTTTCAAAGCACTGAATGGGAATTCAGTTGTGTGATTGATTCTGAGTTTAATCTCTGAGTGCAGCTTATATATAATAACTCTTTGTGTGCTTGATTTCTCTTCGATAGAGCAAAATTCTTCTCTGGGCCAGGCAGCCTGGCCTTCACTGATGGGGAAGTAACAAGGAAATTATAGACCTTGACCAGTTAGAAATTTCCCAGGATCAATGCAGAGGCATAACACTAAAATGTCTGGATAAAGGCACTCAGAAAAATCTGTCCTGGTATGCTACGGTGGTGCAAATTATATAAATACTACAGTAGTTGAGGTTTCCATGTTTTCTTGTGTGTTTTTCCACACAATACCCTCTGTTGTAGAAAACAGTAGACGCTAGACACCGTAAAAATTGAGGTCCTGTATGACTTGTCTAAGAAAATCTCTTTAAAAAATTATTGAAGTAGGAATCAAAATGTTCATAGATACGCCTTATCTCTAATATTCCTTTGTCAGTGAATTGCTGGGGTGGGTTGATACTGAAGGAGTTAAAGGAACAGTGACAACAGAAGCTCATAAAATTGCCATTCGTCAAGTTTTATCAGACAGCTAGTGGCTATTCCAACACCCCTGCCCAGATCAGTAGATACACTTAGAGGGGAAAGGCTGTGAGTAATCAATGAATTTGAAAGGAGTAGGAAATCTGTTTTCTGTAGCAGACTTTCTGCCTATGATGATCTTTACTTTTATGTAAAGAATGTAAATCTAATCTGATGGATGGCATAGAGTGAGAAACAGAAACCTGTGGCCCATCATGTTGATATTTTGTGCAACTAGATGGAAAAGAATAGATGAGGACTGGGAGAGGCAGCTGTGATTTTCCAAGCAACTATACTTTGTTCATGTTAGGAGTATGGACCTGCTATGGCCCTTTTATTTGAGTGTTCAAGAAGGAAGGAGAGAAGGCATTATCATATTAAGTGGGAAGGGAAAATGGATAACAAGATCAGATTTTCAAAGATACATAGGAAGGGAGGCTTCAAAGGGAGTTGGACACCAAAATTCCTTTGGAAAAAAAATGGTTCTCACTCTTTAGGTACCTGCTGCAACATGAGAATGAGATCTCACACAAACACAGTCAAAGCTCTCCACTATGAAGCTGTCTGATGGGTCATCACTAGAAAGGTTGTTTTAAGTCTGGTGAACATAAATCCATCTTCTGGATTTCAAAAGACAGCACTGTGTAGTATGTTTGCTGTCAAGTTGCAGTATTACACAATGGGGAAAAAATTGTTTTCAGCATTTCTTAAAGTAATGGGGGAGTTAGATGTTGAAATCCATAGAGAGGGGAGAGCTGGTTATTGTTATAGCACATGGTGTAGATTTCTGTAAGTAAATTCTATTCCTATAAATTGTAATTCTAGCAATACTTTGTAGCACTCAAAATAATCTTTCACTATTACAATTAAGCCTGCTCATTGGCAATGAATGATTTTTAATTTATTCCTATTTTTTAATAATAATTCTTATTTTTTGTGTGCTTTGGGGTGCAGAGTTGTGGTAGGGGACGTCAATCTGGCAAAATGACCCTCCTTTTGGATATGCTTTGGTTCTGGTACCTTTTAATTACTTGTTTCTGGAGTTTCTGCTGATTATATAAGCTGAGGTTTCTATACTTGTGTTTTCATTGAACAGCTTTATGGTATGAAACTTGTAATTGATGCACCTTCATATTTAGAAATCCTAAAATAACAGCATACTAAAGGTATATTTAATATTTGCATTTCAGTAGGGTATTAACATCAAGAATTATTGATGCTAACTTTACTCAGTCCCAGAAGACTGCAAAAGGGCAGTTGTATGGCCAGAGGCAAAAAAATGCAGAGGTCACAGGCTCGAAAAAGCAATCTATAGAGGCTAGTAAGAATCTTCAACCTGATGGCACTACTGGGGGATAAAAATCAGATACAGCCAGTTTATGTAAAGGCAAGGAACTTGGGCTATCATTTCTTTCCTGCTCTTCACCTTTTTTTCCTTGCTGTATTACATTGGCTTCCTTCCAGACTTTTTGTCTTATCTGTGCTTTTGTTCTCCTGTTTCCCCCCGAGTCTTTCCGTCTGTTCTGAGCACATGTAGCATAATGCTCTATTATTCCTCTTTCCTAGGTATTTGGCCAGAGAAATAACTTGTCCACTTCTCTGCTGGCTCAGTCCGGCAACCCCTGTTGCAAGGTCTTGAGGAGAAAATTGGCTATTCAATATTTATGTACTTACTGTCTTGTCTGTACATATGGGCATCTGTTTTTGAAAGCTTCGCTATTTTCTTTTTTCAAGTTTTCCTGAAAGAAAGGAACTCATTTAAGTGATAAGTTAATAGCAATACCGGTTCCCATAGGCATTCCAGGGGGAAAAAATACTGCAAATGACAAATTACTTAAAGAAACAAACAAAACCAAACCAAACCCAAACAAAAACAAAGCAAAACAAAAAACCCAAACAAGCAAACAAAACAAAACAAAAGGAACATCTTGGAAGCACCATTATTTTAATATAATTTATTTTGCAAGCTTCTAGTACACGTGTTCACAGCATAGAGCAGACTGTGAATGTGGTGTGACAGTACCCTCTGAATGTGTCTGAGGGTCACAGAGTCCTTTGTGCACAGTGGCTTTGCACAGGCTGAGGAATGTCAAGGACCTGTGAAAACTGTAACTGCAACACATCATGCCAGGTGTGGTGTCCTTCCAGTAGGACCAGCCTGTTATGCATGATCTGCAGACATGCAATTGTGTGGTTGTGTGCTCAAATGTCATATGAAATGTTGTATGTTACATGCCTGACCAGTAATACAGATGAGATGGAAATCCAGCCCCAGATCAGTGTGCACCAGCAGAAACTCCAGGAAACAGAAGTAGAACATCTCAGTTAAAGATCACACTTTAGGAGGGTGGTATTTGAAGCGCGCTAGCAGCTTCACAGCCTTGTGACTTGATGATTAACATTTGTATTTGCATGTCGTAATCTTCTGAGGGGTTTTGCTTGGCGCAGGTAGATTAAAACAATGAAACTTTGTTACCCTTCGGGGTTAGCAGTGTTATATGATCCTGCCTCATTGAGTGAAGTATCTGTGCCACCTGGTTTGTGAAACAGTCCAGGTAATTTGCTGCTGCTGCTGGGTGGAGGGTAATGGATGCTAGGACTGTCCCTCTTTGTCGAGGTGAATTTGGCTTTAAGTCTGTCACTCCTGGAGTTCATACCCTGGCCAGAAATAGAGTATATTGTTTCCCATTTGTGAAAAGTCCCACCTGCTTTATCATTCTGCTTCTGTCTTCAGAATAGACTTAGTCTTGTGTCTTGTACACCTAAACAGCAGAGTGGGCTTGACTTCTCCATGCTGCTCTCTTGTTCACTTGAATACCTTTGTGTTCCCAGAAGGTAGCTGAAGACATGAAGAATGGCTGGGTCATTAATGATGCTTTGTAATTATTCTTTCTGACTGTTGTTAAAGAATATGAACATTGTACAGGAACAGTGCAAACTGTTGAACATGTGCATGGCAAAATTCCCATTAGAGAAGAGGTAGAAAAAAAAAAAAAAAAGGGAAATAGTCCATGACACCTCTAAAAGGATTGTTTTTGGATACATGCTGCCTCCATTTGGACAGGAGAGATACAAACATTTGGTATAATTGGACATGTGTGTGTGAAGGGATAAGAACATTAGTTTGACTCAGATATACTCATCTCCTAAATGCAGTTAAGGAGAATATTTTAACCCCTGACTGTACTTGTCAGATGAGTATCCACATTGAATCTTGATTAGCAGCTACAAATTCTGTCAAACCTTGTTTCTACCCAGATGGTTTTGAATTTTCTTTCTGATTTTGCACTGTAGCAGTAACACGTTTTCTTTGTAAATGTAAAGTTTTTACTGCTAGATGAGCAGGTACAATGACATTAAAGCTCTCTCAGCTGTAATGAATAACATAAGAGGAAGATGAGGGTTCTGGGGCTATATGCAGAGAAAGCTAGGTGTTAGCCACAGCCCAAATTCTGCAGAAGTTTTGAAGCCTCTCACATCAGAGAAGGGGAGAGCAGGAAACCATCTGGGCTTGAAGCAGAATGTGCTGGTTTGAGCAGGGACTTTCTTTGAAAACTAATCATAAATTTAGGTGGGAAATTACCTTCTAGTAGTTTCCAGACAATGACATTCAGGAAGAGTTCTCTGCCTTGAGAAGCAGGAACAAGTAAGTTTATCAGGCTTCATGGTCAGGAACTGATGATTTGATAATCTGTGATAAAAAGAGAGAATAATATCCTGGATAGGAATTAGCATAATTGAGTAACCTTCAGTAACCTTCAGTAACCTTCAGTAACCTTCAGTAACCTTCAGTAACCTGTTTATAATTGCAAGATTCTGCACCCTAGAGAAGTGTTTGGATAAAATAGTGGAAAGTATAATCAACTTAGAGATTCAAGGAAGAATTTTTGTCTCATTGCTAGTGACAAGTATCCATTCTGATTTAATATATATGGCGTAGCTGTTGACAAAGATTAGTTCAGTAGAGCAAGCCTTTTTTAGATATTTTAGATAATAAAAGCAATTTTAGAAAGATATTTAAAAACCTTACCTTTTGCATGCTTGAAGGAGCAATTGTTATGAGATATTCCTACAACTTCTGTGTTAGGAGTGGCCAAATATTAGGTCTCTAAATCCATATTTAAAATAGCCAGCACCTCATTCCTCGTAGCACTCTTCACTGGTACATTCACCAGAAACTGCATGACAAACTGTGAACTAAGGAAGTTGTTACTTGGCCAGTGAGCCACATGAACTTGTGGGTTCTGGTCTGAAATTCTCTTTCTCAGCAGAGTTCAGAAACTGCTCTGTAAGTAATCTTTAGCAACCTTTTGCAATATGTTTGACTAAACACCATGTTGCACTTGCTGTCTCTGAGTGTCTTAAGAAGAAATATCTTGACAATCAATATAACATTAGATCATCAGTTAATCTAACTCTGAATTTTCATGCCTTTTTTGTCCTCCAAGCTAACATTTTTGTTATTATCTGCTACTCCTGTTTTTTTCTATTATCATATTATGGTTTTTTTCTACATCGTTTTTTCTTAAATCTTGTTTTTAGAATTTCACAAATGACCAGAAAAGAAAAATATGGAGGAAAAATATCTCTCTGTTGACATAGTTTCTTTAGCTCCTTAGTATATAACCAAAATTATATCAGAAGTTCTAAATAAACATCGAATTTTTGCTGCAGATTATGAATACATTAGATTTCTCCTTGAACTTTTTATTGATAATCTGTTTTATTGCATGAGTGATTTTGCTGGCACTAAAACTTAGTAGTACATTGCTAAATCAGAGTCTGTCTCTAGAATTCAAGTCTGATGATTCTACAACTGTGTAAAAGTCAGTTTTGATAAAGGAGCAGCAGAAATCGGAGCTCTTCTGTGTCACTTTCTGATGTTTGCCACAACTGAGTGTGGTGTTGGCAGTTACTGGCGAGCTTGCAAAGTGTGCTGTGTAGATGTGGCAATATTCCCACTCACTTCCTAGTGTCATCCTTTGAAAGCTTAGAATGTTGCAGAAATGTTAACTGTCGTGGAAAATGTGAAGAGCTGAAATCCAGAGCATGCTTAAGCAGCATGCGGCAGGGCCAGATCCATGCCCGTCCAAAGCCTGGCTTCCTTGGACAGCTCCACATGTCTCTCATGATAGACGTGGATTACTGATGTGCTACTGGGATAGACTGTGAGACTTGTAACCTTAGGCAGTCCCTTTGCAGCTCTCTTTCCCAATGATTCTGGGATGAAATATGCTCCCCTGCAGGTCAGTTTTTGTCTTTGACAAGTTAGAGACCTTTCCTTTGCAGTAAGAGTACACATGGTAAACATTTCAAAAGGTAACCCCCATGGCTATTCTTCTTTCTCTTCAAAAGAATCATAGAACAGTTTGGGTTGGAAGAGATCTTAAAGATCATCTAGTTCCAGCTCCACTGCCTTGGGCAGGGACAGCTTTAATTAGACCAGGAGGCTCAGAGCCCCATCCCACCTGGCCTTGAAAACTTCCTGGGCTTGGGCATCCACAGCTTCTCTGGGCAACCTGTTCATTGCCTTACCAGCCTTGCAGTAAAGAATTTCTTCCTAATTGTCTAATCTAAATCTACCTTCTGCCAGTTTGAAGCCGATTCCTTTTGTCTCATCTCTTCATGCCCTTGTAAAATGTCCATCTCCATCTTTCTTATAGGCCCCTTCAGGTACTGGAAGGCCTCAATCAGATCACCTCTAAGCCTGCTCTTTTTCCAACTGAACAATCCCAATTCTCTCAGTCTTTCCTTGTAAGAGAGGTGGTCCATCCCTCTATTCATCTTGGTTGCCTTCCTCTGGACAGGCTCCAACAAGACAATGTACATCCTGTGCCAGGAGCCCCAGAGCTGGAGGCAGTACTCTAGGTAGTGTCTCAGAAAGCAGAGTAGAGGGACAAAATCCCCTCCCTCACCCTGCTGACCATGCTGTTTTTGATGCAGTCCAGGATGCAATTGGCTTTCTGGGCTGCAGATACATATTGTTAGCTCATGTTCAGCCTCTCATCCACCAGCACCCCCAAATCCTTCTTGGGAGGGCTGCTTTTATCTAAAACAACTGATGCTGTACTTCTCTATGTTGTGTGAAGTGATTCAGTGTAGTCCTTGGACTGCTAATTTGCAGTTATCCAAGAGTGAGGAATATGGAATTTTACTTTTGCAGGAAAGAAGAGGAAGTGTTTGGAGAAAGCGTATACTGAAAACTTCCACCCTCTACTCCAATTTAGGTTGATCTGTCTTATCTTCCTCTCTTTTCCCCAGCAACTGTTAGCTATGGAGGAAAGCACCTTTCATTGTTATTTCCAAAAGCATAATTGCATTATGGAAATTAGGTTCAGAAGATTTGCAGATTTTGGGGAAAGTTGGAGTAGTCTATGAGAGAAGTATTAGTCTGTAAAATATAGTTGTGAGAAATCTACTTCTAAGGAAAAACAGAAGATAATGTAGATGATACGATTCTTCATCTCTAGATTAACAAACTGCAGAACATCCTGTAAAAGTCTGGTAGTTTCTGAAAAATTTCTTGTGATAGACACTTTGCAATTAGTATTTTATTGCATCTTATGTTACACTTTGAGTATTTAGTGTTTAAATGAATGGTGGATAATTTATATGCTGCGTTTTTAAGAAATACCTTTGTATTAGAGTTACAGTTCAGATCATGAGTGCACTTTTGAAGTGCACCTCTTGACCACCCTTCCTTATCATGTTACTTTACCTTGTGGAGTCTCTTGTACTTCACTTCTTTCAAAAAAGTTGCAGAAGTGCAGCTAATATTCTCCAGCTGAATAACCCCCCTCAAAAACGCCTAACCTATGGAAACTGGACCCCCTGCACCAACCATTTCACTGCATGAAACTTTTCTTACAGGGATACTACTGCAGACATAGCAAGTTTTGTGTTGAGCTAAGTACTGACTTCCCAAGTTAGCAGACTAAAATCCTGCATGAGAGTCAAAAGAAAATAGTAGGCAATCAGTAAAATCTTGAGAGATAGCTCTCTAACCTCATGGATAAGGTTTGGTGAAGGAAATAGACATGCAGAAATAAAAATTTGGGTTGGCAATGGAAGAAAAGTTCATTCGTCAAAAGAGGGAAGTGCCTCTGCCTCGCTCTTTCCAAACCTGGTACCAAAAGGTTTTTGCTAGGGATGGTATCCCTGAACCTGTATGAATAGACAAACATACGTGCACAGATATATGCATGTATGATGACATTAAGGCCTTACATGTCAAATAGGGTGCAGTTTACCTTGGTTTTCGCAGATTGACTTTCCACAGTGTGACAGAACTGCCTCACTGAAAGGTCAGGTATGCACCAGCGCTGGTGTGTGGGAAGTGGCGTCTGTCTGTGTCAACAAGAATGAAAACCCAGGGGGGCAGAGATGTTGATAGTAAGATCAGCTCCATTGTTTTCTGAAACATCATCCTCAATTGCTTTTGGTGTACTGTAACTCCAAAATACAAATGTGTAAAAATGGATTTGAGAGATTGCTATGTTGATCTCCCTGGGAGTAAGGATTATGCCTATTTTACATCCATGGCAGGTCAGTCCCATTCTTGCTTTATGGATGAGGATACTGTCATTGCAGAGTTTGCACTGGAGCAGTGGAAACAGAAATTGTTTATTTACTTGAGGCTTTATTAAAAGTAATTAATTAATTATTAATTATAATTAAGCATGAGCCAGGAGATAATCTCTCTTGGTTTCATTCTTTTTTACTCTCTGATAGCTGTGTTGGGTTGTGGATGCAGAGGGAATGAAATGTAAAAGCATTCCTTGAAGTATCTGTTGAGAATTGTGTCCCTTTCATTTATTCAGGGTCATTGAGAATAAAGTTTTCATTTTGAGAGGAGAAATTCACCATGAGGAAAGTGTTTTACTTCATCACATCTGAAAATTTACTTGAATGGAAACAAAATTTGAACAAGCCTTAGTGAAAACCGTTTAAAAATTATTTCCTTTTTTGACTTCTTCAACTTGCTGCCTTTCGTCTGTAAATGCTGTGTGACCTGATCTAAATGTGGACCCTTATTGTTGGGTCTGCAGGATTAAGAGGAATCAGGACAGGTGCAGAGAGTTGCATGGGGACTTCTGGTTTGTTACAGTGGCTCTTATTCCTTGGGGACAGAAATAACCCTCTTGATCATCTTATATGTATGTGTAAATCATAGCTGCCAGTACTTTGCATTGTTTGTATGCGCAAATACATAAAATGCAAAATATCGATAGCCATGATTTAAAACACTTTTGGCAGATTTTTGTTTTATTGAGTTTGTGTCTGTAGTGAGTGTGTGTGCATGAGCATGCAAAAATATTAGGTGCATATAGAATATCTTTTGTTTGTATTTTTATAGTTAAAACAGAACCAATGAACAGCAGTGAGATTGCTACTACTACTACCACGGACGGGTCTTTAGACAATTTCTCAGGATCAGGTAAGGAATAAACAAAGGTCTTAGGCTCAGTATTTTTATATTTCCTGTTTTCTTATCCCACGTGGTCTGAACCTGTACACATCTGTTAAAAAGCCTTGTGCATTTTCCAGCTCTTGCCTATTTCTGTTCATCTAAGTGGAAGTCAACAGGAGTTTTCCCTGAGTAAGGAGCATTACAGTATCGGGCTTATTAATGCCCATTGGTATGTTTGATGGGAGTCTCACTAGGGAGCATTCTGGCCCAGAGTAATTTTAATCTCTTTTCTGTGAGTAAACATACATGCCTCTTGTGATTAGTATTGTAACTGAGGGGTAGGTCTTCCTCATTTATTGTAACTCATTATTACGAAGGTATTCATTCTTTTGTCAAGCTTCTTTTCTTCTTGAAAGCCAAACATCTTAGTTTCTGGCATGGAGGAGACAAACGCTGTGAGAACAACCTGGGGTGTTTTCACAGTTTTGCCTACCTGTGGACTAACTGTGGTATTTCTAGCACATAGTTTTTATGGTGTAAATCAAATTAAAAAGGGATCTAATACTATATTGTGGGATTATATTTTTATAGAAGCAAAATTTGACATCTAGCAACCAGTCAGGCTCCAAGTAGCTACCCCTTTGCCGGTCTTGTCACAGCCTCCATTTTCTGCACAAGCTGTTGAATATGAAAGCATCAAACCTGAAAGCCCTCCAAAAAATAGAGTGTTTTAGTTCTCTAAAAGAAGAAAAGACAGCATCTTTAACACTAGTTATGTACATCTGTGGTGATCAGACTAAAGGTTGGACTGTAACATTTGACAAGTCTGCAGCCTCGCAGACCACAGAAAATAAAAATTACCAGGCATGGAAGGCACAGAAAGAGGTTTCTTGCTTCACAAGGACTCCTGGAGTATAAAGATGATGGATTTTCCCTGTAGCTGGCTAGGAAAGGGGTAGCTGGCAAAGGGTAATTATGCGTGCCTTGTTTATTTCCAAGTACTTAGCAATAGGGCCTGTTGTTTCTCTGGCTGTCTGATTTTACAGTAGTCTCCTAACCTGCCGCTGACCCCTTCCTGGCAAAGGCTTCCAAACCCACCTTGGGACCTAAAGGAGAAGTGACACCCAAACAGTAACCAGAGAGGGAAGGGCTCCCAAAAATAACACCCTGAGCAGAGTATGCCAGCACACCCACCACACTCCTGGCAGCACCCAAAAATACTGACAGGAATGGGGATGGGTTGGTGTGTAAGGCTCTGTGTCAGCAGCACGAGGCTGCCGGGGGAGCAGCTCACGGAGCAGCCTCCTCAGCTTAAGTGTTTCACTAACAACATCTGCACCTTGTACATCTTTATGCAACACTGGCTGATTCGAAGGTCTGAAAGCATTTTGGAAAGCAGATAAGATGGAGGAAAATATATGGAAGTGTAATACGGTAATACATAGTCTGTATCAGGAATTTTTTTTTTTTAAGAAAGAGGCACGTGCTCTGAAGCTGGCCATATGTTTTCAATCGAGGCACGCATAAAGCTCCTTCATAAAATGTAGGTCTTAAAAATTCTAAAAGTTAATAAAATGTTGCACTTGAGATATCAACAACCCTTTGAAAATATGAAGGGAAATGTTTCCATTAGGAAATAGGTTGTTTGCATTGAAAATGTTGTCTGTGTGCAGCCAAAGAATAAACTATCGCTCAGGAGTTGTACAAAGGGGCAATTTAGTATTTGAGATTTGCAATCAAGATTTTAATGTTAAGCATTCTTGTGTAGTTCCTGATAAAATATTATTTTCTATCTAAGGTATCAATGATATTTGAATTTAATTAAACTCTTGTTAATACTCTGAAATTCTATTAGGAAAAATAATATTTACCTTTGGTGTGTGTATTTACACTTCTGTGTGCTTTCTTTTCTCCTTGGTGCAGCAATTGGAAGCAGTGGTTTCAGCCCAAGACAAACACACCAGTTCTCCCCGCCACAGATTTACCCTTCCAAGTATGATATCTTTTTAAAATAATAATAGTACTAGTAATAATAATAACTGAAATAGCCAGATTTTAACATCATATAAAATAATAATTGGGTCCATCTGTTAAGCCATAATTTAAACCACAGCAGCTTCTAGGGAAAAATGTGGGTTTTTAAAAATTATAAAATGTATTTGTAAAATATCTGTAAGTTCTTATTTTACCTATACTTTTATTATTGATTTCTTATTGTTGTTTTGTCTCTCTCTTATAGTTTCTGTTGTCTAGCATGGCCTATGATTATGTATTAATGAAGTAGCAGGATTATATTAAGACTAAAAATAAGTACCTGCATGTCTGTCTCATGCAGTGTCTGTCTTTTTTTTCTGTCATTTGTAATTAATAGCAGACCCTACCCACATATTCTTCCTACCCCGTCTTCACAAACGATGGCAGCATATGGGCAGACACAGTTTACAACGGGAATGCAACAAGCTACAGCCTACGCCACTTACCCCCAGCCCGGCCAACCCTATGGAATCCCTTCATATGGTAAGAGGTCACGTCTGTGTTATTTTATTACTGAGGTAAATATTCTTTAGATCAAGATTATGTGACCCTTGTGTTGGTACTTAGTGAGAAAGTTGTGCTCTGGAGCATTTCTTGTGGAAGACTGGTCATTTCCTCACATTGGAATGAGTGATGCTTAATTTATGTATTAAAGAACTAAGAATGTGCACAAGAGTATGACTCCATTTTGGGATCAGAGAGAGAGGTTCATTAGCTTTTTGGTGGTGATATAAAAAAACCAGCATTCAAATGGGAAAAGAGATCCACGGGCTTCCATTAGACAGGCATGGCCCCTGGTGACTTGCTGAGGAGCTCTGCTCTCCAGCAGTGCAGTAGGTTACATTGGTGCATAAAGGTCTGAATTTCAGCTGATACAGATCATTGCAACCCAGATGAATCCATGAAACTATGCTGATTTTCAGCAGGACAAACAAAACTGATTGAAAAGGACCGTTCCCCCCCCCCCCCCAAAAAGAATTCACTTTCCAATATTTTAAAAATCCCTGGAGGTGAGAATTGAGGTAAATTGATGCTAAATCTCTGTCTGCCTAATGAAGGAGATAGTACTAAGTAGCAAATATTTCCGAAAAAATTTAATTTAAAAACAAGCTGCTGTGGGTGAGACCATTTTCCTGCCAGACTGTCTGCTGGCAGACCACATAGCAGTGCAGCAGCAAGGATGCATTATTAGAAAATAGGCCTCATATTCCTCTGGGGGCATATATTAAAAATATACAATCCACATGCTTTGAGCAGTAAAAATACATTATGTAAAGATAAATTCAGATGATTTAAGTTTTATGCAAAAAGGACAGAACTCATCATAAAAGCTGTTCCATTTAAAATTGTTAAAAGTTTTAAGTGCAAAACTGGTGAATCTTTCATCCTGAAATCTGCAAGTTGAAATCCAAGGGATTTCAAGTATATCCTATAGCGGATTATTGTGAACAAAAGAAATACCTTATTATTTCCCCTTACTTTAAAATATGGTTCTAAACATAAATTGGATGTTTCAGTTCAAATCCACATATTTTAAGCTTACATTATGTAGATGGAGAGTCTTACACATACACACACACAAAAGCTCCTCTTGCTGATGAGAGGTTGTCTGCTAATTCCATCTGGATCAGGTGGGGTGATAACAGATGACCCCTTTCCCCACCACGCTTTTTTTGACCTGTTTCTCCTGCGGACACCTCGTGTTCATACTTGGCTGACTGTGGAGCTTGGGCAGCCCAAACACTGACTTTTTTTGGTTTTTTGCTTGGTTTCCCTGGATGAAATCCTGACCTCAATGAAGTCAACTCTAAAATTCCCACTGACTTCAGCCAGGCCTTGATTTCACTACTTGAGTTTAGCTGTCTCACTGTCGTCGGAGCTGTAATTGAGAGTTGCTTTACTTGGCAACTGCTCTCAGGGGTTAACATGCCTGCCTGCTCTTTTGTTTTGTTTTGTTTTCTTGCCTAGTCCATCCCCCATGCCTAGGACTTCAAATAATTTTGTCTAACATTTTACACACTGAAACCCTCAGTTCCTAAGCAAAGTGGATTTTTACATGTTTTGTTCTTTTCAGACAGTGATTTGTGGCTGGAACTAAGGTGCCTCTTACTGATATGCTTTACTGGAGCAATATTTAAAAGCAAATAACAATTAAAAATTTTTAGGACCTTACATCATATAAATTTTTTGCATATATAAAGCACATCATATAATCTGTGCTCCCAAATTAAATTATGCAGGGGGCATTGGGATGCTCATTTGCAACAGGCAAAAACTGAAACCTTACTTAGAGCCAAATTCTCCTCTTTGGTCTTCAGCTTAGGCCTCATATATCCTCTGTCTTGCCTTTCTTTCATCGAGGCAGAATCTTCCATTTCCATCAGGTATAAAGAGAGAAGACTTATGACATATGTGAAAGAAAAAACTGTGTTGAGCAGGGGCCTCTTGCTTTTTGTTTCTTTACTCCCGGTCTACTGGAAGAAAAAGTATTCATGAATTCCCATATCAGCCTTTCTCAAGTTTTCTCTTGAAAAAGTTTTCTCTTGAAAAAGGGCAAAGTTTGGGAAGGTGCTGTCTCAAATGCATCTCTATCCTCTTCATTTTTCCACTTCCCCACCTCCACAGCGGTGCAGCCGTGCAGGCAGGAAGGGGGGTGGAGGAGAATGCCATTGACAGCTGCTGCCCAGGGGCTCCTGGCTCTGCTTCATCTGCAAAGCCCCTGAGGAGGTTGGAGAATTTCCTGAAACTGTTTCCTCCTGCCTGCTCCAGCAGCAGCTTCTAGCAAAGGCTTTGCTTACCAGCTTCTTTACTTTCGAGATCTTGGCAGTCCCCTTGTGTTTTCTCACTCTCCCTTCCCACTTCCTTGCATATATTAGACTTGGGAAAAGAAGGGAGCATCAAGGTTTGATGAGTGAAGGCCTTCAGGATGAGAGCAGGTGGGAAGAGTAAGTCCCAGGAGATGAAAGGCTCTTCATAGCATGGAGGTTTGCAAAAGGGCATCTCAGTGCCAAGTTGTCTTCACTCAAGTGGCATCCTCCTGCTGCTGCCTTTGATCGTCTCCTCCCACGTGGTCTGAGATGGAGAATTAAATCACACTGTTAAAAAAAATTTTGACTACAAATTTAATTCTTGATTTAGTTAAACTTTCTCTAAGCAATATTTAATCAGCATTTCAGAAGTCCTTAAACAGATAGCAAATAAGGATAATTGATACCAAATCATCCATAGCAGGAGTTTCCCCTTGAAAATGAGGTGTCAGATTTGTCATTGGGACAGTTTAATTGTAACCTGAAACAGAAGAAGCAAGTAAACATCAGGGAAAAACAAGCAAACAGGAATAGTCTGGCAGTTAGCAGGTCTGGCAGAAGGAATTAAGGGTAAATAATGACAGCAGTTGAAAAATAATTATGAGGATGGCAGAAAATATGCTGCTATTTGTATATAGGGAGGTATTGAAGTTTTGCAAACATAGTAACTTCTCAGCCTTTTCCTACCTTCAAACATCATTGAATATTGTTTAAAAAAATCCAACCAGGAAATGGGCTTAGATTAACAGTAATTTTCAAAGGAATGTTACTAATTCACACTTAGATACTTCAGTTCAAATATCGGTGGTTTCTGAACAATGAGGTATCACTGAATGCCACAGTGAAACCTAAGAATATTGTATCACTTTTCCATTGCTTTGGCTATAATTATTTTTAAATGTTGGTTCATACTGGGACAACTTTATAATTAAAACTAAGAGACAGGGGCTAAACTGTGTGCATTTCCTCAGTATTTTACTTGCTGATATTTACTTGCTTGTTGCCTTACAAACTGTGGGAAGAGTCACTGAACTTGGGCAGCAAGTCATTATTGATCGGACTTAGGATTCTTTTATAATTAAATTTAGAAATGAGAGAGTAATGCGATGTGTAATGGATTTCCCTGTCAGTGCAGATTAATGACTCTCTGCTATTTTTTCCCAGTTTGGCAGGTTGCTTCAGGAATAGTTCTTGTCTATTAGGTGATTATTTGTTAAAAGACTAAATGCCTCCTATAGTGTTTAATTAGCTTTGAAAAATCATCATTACACTTAATACTGCTAGTTCTCTTCATCCACTTCTAATTCCTTAGAAATTAAGTAGCACTAGGAGCTGAGAGGAATATTATACAATGCAAATCTCAGTTATGTCTTTAATAGGTAGATGGCAGGAGAGCTTGGTTATGCTATGTTTCATTAAAATCATACAAAGTTGCTAATCTACCTCTGTGCAATGTCATGAATATATGGAAAAGTTTGCCTCTGGCAGGAAAGGAAAAAAGGAATAATGCAACTTCCTGTTCATGTATAAATTTCTTTTGCAGTTATTGGAAACACAGTTTTGAATTTAACCTCTCCCTGGTGAACTTCAGTTTTCCATGTGCTTTTAGACTGCCCTTACCCTGTTCATTTGTGCATGCTCTCGGTATTTGTTCTCTCATGCAAGCAATAGTAGTTTTATCTTAAAATTGCTGTTAATTAAGTGATTTTATTTTCCATCCCTGTTTGAATATGAACAAATAGATTTGCTGTCACTAACTGATTTAGGTGCATTGTGGGCAGGCATCAAGACAGAAGGTGGATTGGCACAGTCACAGTCACCTGGACAGACTGGATTTCTAAGCTACGGTGCCAGCTTTAGCACACCTCAACCTGGACAGGCTCCCTATAGCTACCAGATGCAAGGTCTGTATAAACAGATATTACCATTAATTAGATACAGTTAATGCTATGGTGGTTTTCTTTTTCTCCTCATTTCTTTGCATTCCTGGAATAAAAATGAATATTCGCTTGAGCACTTACCTCTGATGTTACTGCAGTTGGAGCTGAAATGATGATTGCCTTTGTTGAGAGCAGTGACAGATCAGCTCTCAGCAGTTTGGAAGATCCCTTCCTTCATTAAATTTTAAATAGTAAAGTGTTCTAGTGTTATTACAATAAAAATGTATCTCCAAATAGCAATAGTTTAGCAAATAGTGAACGAGACAAAGCAAGTCCTGGAAAACGTGTCAGGATTATGGATTTAGGAAGTGCCAAATATAATTTGACACCTGAATGTGTTCGAGAAGGGACAAGAAGATAAAAATACCTACTGCAGCTGTGGAGGTGGCTAAGTAATGACTGAAGTCTGTTTCTTTGAAGTCTATTTAAAAGCTGTAAGTCTTTGTATGTGCAGGCTATTATTATCAATTATATTTTGTAGCCTTTCTTGCCTGTGTAGTTTATTTAATATCTTGCCACCTTGTTCTTGCAATTCTTTTTCCCCCTCCTGTATCAAGAAGTCACTGGTGTGCCTGGTTCTGGATTTTGCACCACTTTAAGTGATATTTTAAAAAATCTTTGTTTATCAGAAATAACTAATTTTGGATGTCTTCTGTAGGCCTTTTCACCCCTGAATTTGTCAGTAGAATTCAGATACCTTGCAGCTTTTAGAACTGCTGAAATACGTGATCACTCAAAGAATTGGACCACATTTTTTTTTAAGTTTAGCACCTTTCTTTATTGTTATTAAGCTCAATTTAAACTGTGTGCCATCAAGTAAAACACTCCATGAAATGTCTTGAGGCAGAAGTGCTTTCAGAGATAAAGTGAATGAGGTTTTGCTTTTGTTCCACAACTTTAAGGGTATATTGATTCAATCCTTCGCTCAGACACAAAAGAGATGTTTTTTGTTGCTCTTTTTTTTTTTAAATCTCTTTTTGAACTGTGTGTTGAGTAGCTCTGTAGGGTAGAAGTGACTATCTGAGATCTGAAGTATTGATGAATTGTAGTGTACTCTGACAAGTACGAAGGATAGAATCAGAGTAGTGTGCTAATTTTCATCTATGTGTTGAATAATGATGATCTGCTACTCCTCTGAGTAAATATAACCATAAACAGGTTATTGGTTTTGCTTTCTGCAGATACCTACACAAAACACTAAAACAATAAACCCACACCTGCCCATCCTCCCAAAAAATCCAACCTCTCTGTAGGAGAGAGCTCAAAATACTTGCTAGCAGCAGCTACAAGTAATTTCTGGATCAACACTTCAGCTCTTAAGGAACTGATAATTCATAGCCTCTAGGAAATAGCATTATTGAAAAATCATGTCTGTGTTGCCTATAATTTTTATTGCAGTAGTGCCTTCATGCCACAGTCATATACAGAGGATCCTGTTGCTCTAACCTATACAGCCAAATAAAAATATAGTTCCATGGAAGTTGGAGTCTTAAATAAAACATACAGGCTAGAAGGCCCTAATGTAACAATAAAGCTGACACTGTTTAGTGAAAATAAACAGTCAACACCCTGTATTGGTTGTCTAACAGCTCTGAAGTTGTTTTTTGTAAGATATAGAGGAGAGGGATGTCAAGAAAAGAGGATTTTAGGCGGGACAGTGAAGTAGTAGTTTTGCAGATGTCTGTGGGAAACTCATTCAATAGAGGGAGGAAAGGGGGAGCAGCATGGGGTAACGTGAGAGGAGTGTTTGTTGGAAATTTTAAGAGTAAGTGAATGCTGGCATTAGTAGAACAGAGCTAGGACTCAGTCAATGGACTGCATAGAGGTCTGCCATAAAGAGTATCGTTTTGTTTTCTGCAATATTCAAAATGTGTAAGATCAGAATTGTCAAGCTCAGGAGAGGGTGTCAGTTGTCAAGAGATGGAACAGTAACATCCTGGAAAGCATTTCAGCTGTACACATTGAAAAGCAAGGACCTAAAAATATTCTGCAAGCAGAGATGTGTTAATGATGACCCAGTTGCAAAGCTCTAACACGAAGAGGGTCGGAGGCATTGATTTCATGATGCTGTTGTCTGCAGGGCTGAGGGAGGAGGGGGTCTGAGCTGGGTTCTGCTCCAGCTGTGCTGTACTTGGGCTGTGAGCTGCCCACCTGTGGAACTCAACAGATCACTGACAGTCTGACGTGGGCAGAAGAACGATGGGTCAGAGTTGGGTGGTCCCTGGGGTGTGTATGTTCTTTCTGTTGTTCTCATAAACAGCACAATGTGTGGGTGAGGGAGGGACTGGTCTTGTACAGAAACCTTAGAGACCATAAGTATATAACATATCAGACGAAAATATTTGTGAAGTTGTTAGTTGCTAAGTAGAAAAGAATGACATTGCTGAACAGGTCTTTCTTGCAGTTAAATGTTTGACAGTATATGTCTATACTATACATGAGAATATATATGTCTTTTTAATGTTTTCATAAGGCTAACTTTTGTATTTGAAATTACTTTAAATTGACTTAATTCTTCCTTTAGATTGAACAGCTGTTAAAAGCAAAGAAGAACATTTGTTTCCCTTTCCTCATTTAATTTTGGAAAGAGAACCTATTCATAGTTTCAAAGGACAAAATTTATTCTCATGTCAGAAGACAGGGTTAGTGCTGCTGCTGTTCAGTTGTTTGTGCAGAAACCTCCAGAGAGGAAAATGAGTTTCTTCTCCCTTTCCCCTCTAGCACTATATGGGCAGGCTGCAGCCTCAGCCTTGTCATAGCCTGCAACAGCCATTCTTCATCTCCTGCGTGCAGCTGCTGAGCTGCTAAATGGAGATAATGGATCCCACAACCTACTTCACAACCATGCGTTACATGACAGCGCGCTCGGGGCCCTGCGTTCTTGCCTGCAGTAAAGGGGATTTCCTAGTGGCCTTGCAGTTGTCATGCTCATGTTCCCTGACTGGGGTTACCTCGTGCTTGAAAGCTTTGGAGTTAATTCTGGTTCCTCTCCCTGGGGTGAATGTCTTCCTGCAATGTAGAGACTCTGCCTCGCGGTGCGTGTGCAGCCAATTAAATCCAGTGCTTTTCCTGACCCTGCTGAAATTACAGTGTGATTAGTCACTGAACAATAGTGCAGGGAGAGACTGCCAACTTTTGAAAATTATAAGGAGAATCGTTGCCTGTGACTCCGTGTTAAGGTTATTCTGGTAATCGGGTTTTTGTTTGTTACAAATTTATCATCCCTGGAACAGGGGGTGCGTAGAGGAAGGGGTGAGAAGAGGGCTCAGGCAGTTCTGCCGCCCCATGTCTCTACTCCCTTACTTAACGAGTGTGTTCCTTAAGCTGTTTTTCATATAAGTTGCTTCATAGATGTTGAAAGACCACTTACATGACTAATGGCTGTGGGAATGGCCCGTTGTTCCTATATTGGCAGAGTTATAAGGATTGTTCAGTGAGGATAAATGGAGAAGGGCTGGGGGGAGCAGCAAGGAAAGACCTCCATTTGCAACTGTCTTATTTGAGTATCCTTTGGTTGTGATAAAAGATGGCTTTTACCCTGCACCCAAGTATCCTACTGCTGGAAAGATAGGATACCTGTGATGAGCACTGGCATTGTTTTAGTTAGCAAGACTGTGATGATTAACTATCCAATTGGTTTGGGAAATCAACCATAAAAAGTAAACGTTAAGGTATTTGGTTATTATTATACAGTATAAAAATATTGTGCTGGATGGCTAACCAGTTACTAGGACAACAAGGGAGAGTTTGCCAAGGATTTTTAAGCACTGTAAGCAAACGGAAGAAACCTTGAGTTTAAATAGCCCATCTGGCCGTCTTAGGCTTTCCCAGGAGAGCTGCACTAAACTTCTGCCACATGCATTGTACCCTGATGATAGACATAGCCCATGGCAAGGAGACTGAGCCAGGAAAGCAAATGGGCTACTGTGGTCAACACACGGGGGAGGACAGCACCCCACGCCTCTCGGCAGCAGCACAGGGGCAAGCCCCGTGCCTGGAGCCTGCACCCTGGTCCCAGCAGGGTCCGTCAGCCTTCCGACGCTGGCTGGGATTCCCAGCTTTAATGTGGGTCAGAGCTCTTTGCAAAATAGACCTTTGACCTGCAATTTACAGCTTTTATCACATTTTAAAGTATGTAGCCGGCCAAGTTACGGCAGTAAATCTCCTGCGTTTTGTAGCGATTCTCATTTTTGTGTTTGTTCAGCTAAGGCAGGAGAGCAGCTCTATGCCGTGTTATGGCTGAATACTTAAAAAACAAATGGCAACATTGAAGCATTTTAAAAAGAACTTTAGGCCTGTAGTTCTGGGTGGCCCACGGAGCTGTTTCTGAGAAACCTGCTTCATGTTTGTTACGGTCTGGGAGACCCCTACCCCTCCTCCATAGGAGCCAGTGCTGACCATGAGATGAAAGAGATATCTGGGAGTTAGTATGTGTGTGTCTTTGTCTGAGAGGCAGAGATGCTGGCTGGCATGTAATTGCTTTACTCATTTGCTCTTGCAAATTATTTGCCAAATTTTCTGCAGAAGGTAACGTATTCCTCAAAAAAAGTCTTTGGTTGTTTTTTTTTTTTCTTATGAGAGGCTTTTTATATATATTTTTAGAGTGGCTCAAACTGTGCATCTCTAAAACCTGTGTCTGAATGTATTACTGCATCACTCAAAAATACCTACAAGAAATAAAAAGAGGCACAGTGACTTACATTCTTCTACCCAAAGTAGTATTAGAAATAAAATATCATTTCAAAGTTTTGCAATTTAAAATATTTTTCAGCTGTATTTTGGCTCTGGGGTTTGTTATAATAAAAAAAAATAACATCTGTTTTCCAATTTTAAATTAAATTTAAAACAACATGTTTTTCACATTAGTACTGTTTATCTGTACTATCTGCTAAACTTGGATGTCAACTCTTCTGCTGAAGTAATCTGATTTTAGTTCACAGGATTAGTAGCATCTATCAACAACTACAGAGCTTTTGCATTAATAAAAGATACAAGAGAAAAGGTTACAGTCATTATCACACGTTAAGTTTAAGCTTCATCTTTTACTCCCATTGCTGTTGGACTTCGCATCTCCTTGTTTGAGACTTAAGTTGTATGTGCTTTTAGTTGCTTTTGCAATCAAAGCAAGTAAATATTTTCCCTTCTGACTTTTCATAGCTAGGATACCTATTTGTTTTGAGGTTTTTTTTTATTTAAAGAAGTAGCTAGCTCACAACTGACTGTAGAGGGTTGTACTAAGCATGTAGCCCTGCCTGCATTCTGTGCTCTTTGGAGTTGCAAGAAATGTCACTTTTCCCAGTGAGCAACCTCTGCATGGAATTTGGTTGTTAATTGAGTTTTGTCAGTTATCTTGGAGGAGTGGTGCATCTGTGTGCCTGGCTCCCTGTTGATTTTCATCCCTCTTTGTCGTCTTTGCTCACCTGCAAGCTTTTGCTCCCTGGGTCTATGTATATCTTTGCACTAAGGTAGGTTATGGTGGTGAGAGAGACTGTAAACAACTTGTGCGCTTTAATAACCTGCGCTGGCTGGTGTTCTCCTGCTGGACAAGTTCAATAGGTTGCCTGATTATAGACTTTGTGGTGGCTTCTGTAGCTTCACCCTGTGCATCCATATGCCTCAGCTGGTGGCTGTGTCACTCCCCGGTTATAACCACTGAGGGCAAAACAGCTGAAAGAGGGTTGCTGCCCTTTTAGTGGAACAGCTTCTCAGGTTGGATAATAAACAAGAGCCCCATCTGTCTGGTTTTGGTGGCTCATGAAAGCATGAGTAGAGAGATGAAGGCAGTAATTCAGTATCTGGGGTAAATTCAATATTGGGTCTCCCTTCTCAGAGATACTTTTTTCCTCGTGTCATGCCTAATAGACTCTATCAAAAAAAGAAAAGATTTTCAGCCCAAGGCTGTGTATGATCGATTAGTGAATCCTAATGGCTTTGCAGTTGACTGAGCTGTCTGGAGCAGGGAGTTATGGCTTTTGCTATTCCTACAAGGGGCTGAATCTCAGGCAGGGGAGAGAACACAGTTCGCAAAGGTGGGAGGAGAAACAAAGCCACTGAGCTTTCGTGAGTGGAGATGCATCTCTTGGGACAAGGCTTGCCATTATTGTTCAACAAAAAAAGTAAAGAAACCCTCATTACTTCCATGATGCTGGGTATTATTTGGAAGGGTGGGATAGCCTAATAGTCAGAGCTGAGGTGGCTCCAAAATTCCTGTCTAAATTTCAAGGGATTTTTTTATTGCAACAATGAAACACATGGTATAGGAACTATGAATTATCACTTTCCGTATATTAACATGTTGTAGAGCCAAATCGGTTAACATATGGGAAATATTACAAATATGCCATAACCTTATGATATAACCATGTGATGGAAGTTATTTTCCTATACTTTGTTTTAGTAACGTATGTAATTTTTCTTTTCATTTCAGGCAGCAGTTTTACAACATCATCAGGAATATATGCAGGAAATAATTCCCTCACAAATTCTACTGGATTTAATAGTTCACAGCAGGTAAATTTGTAAATAGGAGCTCAGCAAACTTTGGCAAATTTAGAATTCTCATCCACTGAAAAAATGTAGCCTTTGTATAGTTTATTGAAAGAAAATAGCATCAAGTTAAACTAAGGTTTATAAATGTTTTTCTTCAATTTTTTGTCTTCCAATTCTAGAATTAATTGTCTGAGGTTGATGTTCTTTATCACACATAGGCAGCAGTGTGTCTAATTAACTGCTTGTATGAGAAGACATACTAAATTATGTGCAATTTAGATACTGTTTTATTGCCTCGCAGTTTTAGGTCCTATAGCATCTAGTTCAGGAAGCATACTTGCTTAAAGTCTGACATGTGTTTGTAGTTATATTTTGGAATTTATACTAAAAAGTAGCAAAACTTTGATGGACTATTCAGTTGCTTTTTTGTCTTGCAGGAATATCCCTCTTATCCCAGTTTTGGCCAGGGCCAATATGCACAGTATTATAATAGCTCACCATATCCTTCCCATTACATGACAAACACCAACACCAGCCCTACGACACCCTCCACAAACGCAACATACCAGCTTCAGGAACCACCATCTGGCATCACCAGTCAAGCAGTTACAGATCCTGCAGCAGGTAATTACATGGATTTTATTGTCCCTATGAGGCATGCTTTTTTAAGTTGAAAGGGGATTGAGTTGGATTTTTTTTTTGGTGTAGTTGTTGATTTTTGGTTTGTTATTTCTTAATCCTGAACCTGTGACACATCTTGTAAAGATTCTAACAGAAAATGGAGTGAAGAAAAAAGATGATCAGTAAAGGTTTTAAAGCTTGTGCAAAATACAATTTGTTTGTATTTATTTGTAAAATCTGTGTATTAAAAATTGCAGGGTTTGGACCAGTCCTTACGCTAAACCAGAACCTTATGTTTTTAAGCTCTATCTTCATTAAGATAAACTCCTTTGATTTTTCCGAAGTAAGACTGAAATCAAGAGGCCTTCAGACCATAGCCCAACTGTCCATTTAAAAGAGAACTTTTGTGGTTTTTTACTTTCAGAGGACATAATAATGCTTGTAATGTGGAACTGAAATTGCACAAGTGTTTCCATTTTAAGAAAAGATTTTCAGTGGCTTTTTCTTTTTCCCAGTCATTTTACCTTTCTTGGCGGAATTTGGCAGTCCTATACTAGTTGAGATATTTTTGAACACTTATACCAAACTGCTCCAGCTGTTTTTGGAAATGAGGGGTGAAAAATACTTTTCCCATTATTGAAATAAATAAAAATCCTTTTTTTTTTTTTTTTTTTTTTTTTTTTTTTAGCAGTTCAAGCATGTCAGTACTTAGTAGATGGCAGAAGTTTGAAATCTGTCAGAGAGAAATTCCAAGATTGCAGATGTATCTCACAGTAATGCAGTAAGAAACAGCTATAATTTGGCAATGGTATCAGGTGGTTTTGTTTTGGACTTTTTTGGGGGAAGTTGTTTTTAGTTTTCCTGAAATATTTGATGTGACTAATGTGCGAGCTTTTAGTATAACTTGCTAGGCCTCTGTTGCTTTTCTGCATGAGTGTGTACCTGAAGAAAATGTATTCAGTTTTGTCTTGTTTGAGGCATTTGCTGAAAGGAAATAGGGAAGAAGATACAGATGACATATGTGTTTATATACACAAGGTCGCATATGTATGCAATGTATTTGAGAAAGGCATCTTTCTAAATATATGAATGCATATAGGAGTCTGGAGCACTTAGAGTATGTGGATATATGTTGGTGTCTTCTTAATTACCCTGCTATTCAGTCTTTAGAAATTTTTTACTTTTGTTTTCTGGTGGGTTTCTTTGCTTCTCTTTTTAAATTGGAAGCAGTTAAGTTCTTCTTAGCCCAAAACCCAAATGTGATCAAATTTTAGCTTTTTATCAAGATATTAAAATTGTTATATCATCTGGGTTCTGATCTTTCGCAAAATTTTGCATGATTTTTTTTTTAAGTCGTTGATACTCCCTAAAAGCAATAGTAAATGCATATACAAAGAGAGGAGTTATATTTTCCCAAGCTCAAACTTACTACCTTAAAGGCTGTCTTCCTATTTAAATAGTTTTCTGTACTCTATAAGCTTGGACAGGACTTTTCTATCAGTTTCTTTTTAAGAAGTCTTTCTTTTTTCCTTCCTCAAATCCTCTACACTCTTGTTATGAAGGTTTTGTCTAAAAATTTTAAAGAATTTTTGGGGTTTTCTTATGCGTGAGTCCTGCACTGAATCTGTCTTCTAGTTTGCACTTTCACGTGTTGAAAGTATATCCATGGGTGCCTTACCACTGCTTGCTTAGCCCTTCCTTGGATATGTGCACACCTCCTCTAGCATTGCTGGGACTTCCATCTCTTTTCCCGAGACATTAATGTTAAAGATTTAATAATTCTGAAAAAGTTCCTTCTAACAGTTTGCAAGTAACAGCTCTTGGGTTTTCATGGGCTGACTGGCTGTACCAGAGGCAAGGGCACATTTAGGAAAGTGGATGCTGTGGACCACTCTCTGTTAGGAGGAGCTAATGAAAGCCATTCTTCTGTTCTCCTTCGTTAACGTGATTGCAGGCAGCAGAAGGAAAGGGCGAGACCCAGATTTTTCCATTTTTCTTTATGTAGTTGTTGTCTTGATGCACGTAAGTTAGGATCCAGCCTATTTAGACTCCTTCTGTTTTGAGTGGCAAGAGATGAATAACTCTATTTAAAGTTCAGTTTAACTACAATCTTAATCCTGAGGTGCCAAAGCATCTCCACTGGTATGAGAGCAGTTTAAGGTGGCTAACAGTGATGTATTCCTAAGGAACTCAGTGTTCCTAAGGAAACCAGTATTGGGTTCCTGAGGAAAAATTAGGTCAGAACCTTTTGCTGCCTCACAAACCTTCAACTCTGAAGAACCCCTTGCAAGAAGGGAAGAAAGGACCATTCAGTGAATCCACTGCTGTTCTTGCCATTTCCCCTTGGACGGCATAAATGGTTTTGCTTTCTTACTTGCAGAGGCTTATTGCAAAGCCTCAGTTGAACTCATACACAGTCTGCTCAAAAGACAAAGCAAGGCTGGGGCCAAAGAAAAGAGGGGATCAGCATGGAGGAAGGGAGTTCTGGTGGACTGAGAGCAAGTGAAAGGTGTATTCAACAGAAGGAAATTCATAGTTGGGTTAAAAAGCACAGAACAAAGGGGTAAAATAAAAAAAAATTAATTGCTGTTAGTCAAATTTCTGCAGGCTGTTTTGCCACATCTGGTCAAGTTAGGCTGCTAATTCTCTACCAAAGTTGGAACGCTTCGTATGAGGAATGGGGGTAGGGGGGGGGCAGTGGAGAGCCATCACATATAGTAGGATGGGATCCAGCTGCTGAATTGCAGCCATCCTACACATCTTCTATATTTAAAAAAACCCATGTAATCTGTGTGGTTATGAACTATGCCAGGACAAGCACAGAACAGCCTTCAGACTTCACAGAGGCACCAGAATAATTTGACATACATAGGTGGTTCCTATGAAAATGGGCCAGTAAATGAAAAAGAAGAGTTGGGTAAGAAAAATGTGAAAGAGAGAAAATAATTATGTGCTCTTGTGACATTTTTAGTATAGTTTTGCAGACTCAGAAAGCTCAGATAATTTCACTTGAAATACGTTTAATTCCTTGTCCAAATACAAAATAATCCTTTTATGGTTTGCCTCAGTTCCTAGCTAAATATGAAAGTTTCTGCCATGCAATCCAGGACATCCAGGGATTCTTGCAGAAGAACCTGAGATTTTCTGTTTTCAGTGTTTCTTCTTTCTCTTCCATTTGTGTGTTTGAAAAATTTCTTGTACCACGGTCAGGACAAAATCATTTGATTGCACAGAGATTTCTAATTCTTGTTACATAAATCAGACATACAAATTAATGTTATTTTCTTGTGAACAGGAGGTTGTATTTTTCTTAGTGACATAATCACAAAATTGTTAAGCAAAACAATCTCAGTTGACCATTTCAAAATTTTAATGTATTCTCCACTTCAGATTTCATTGGTTATTTTGTTTTAGTTCAAAAGTAAGGATTTTCTAAGGTTTGTTGTTTTGGGTTTTTTGTCCACTTGTAAAATTTTTCTGCAGAAGAAAATACTTTTCATCAGAATGGCAATAGAATATTAATTTTCTTCTGGGGTGAACTTTCAGTCCATACACAAATAGATTATCCCAGGTATGGACAGAGTTGCTGAATTTTTGTCTAAGCTGGAAGTAATCTAATGGAAGTAATAATAATTAAAATTATAAAAAGAATAGAAGTAGACAAATGAGCAAACATTTGCTCTCCCTTCCAATATTCAAATTCATTGAAATAGGTTCAGGGTGAAAAAAAAGGAGGTATTTCTTTATGTTTCATTTAAGTAAGCTGTGCAGCTCTTTGCTTCAGGACATTATATATACAAAATGTTTGTGCCAGTTCAAGCATTGCTTAGACAGACTCAAAGATTAGATTTACGCAGACACCAATGTCAATTCAAGAAATTCTTAACGCAGAAAATCACGGGAGACAGTGGATGAATTAGTGCTGTGTCTATCCTTTTTATGCTTTCCCAGTTAGTTTCCTGCTGTTTGCCCATGTTGAAACTTACCCTGGACAGATGGAGTTTTGCCCCCATCCATTATGCCTGCTTTGATGTTCTAAAATACTTAACATTCATAACACATATTTCTAAGAGTTCATGTAGAAAAAGACTACTTTTTCTAAAGCTTTAAAAATTTTCTCTTGCAGTATTTCAGCTCTATCATCACAACTGGTAACAAAAAATTCTCTATTTGTGCAGGGGGTTTTTTTATAAATTCATTCAGCAAAGCTGAATTTTCCTTCTATTTCATATGATGCTGTATTTGCAATTTATTATACAGTGTTTCTTGGAAGAGAGACTTGCATTGTTCTTGAGATTTGATCTCTTTCAGTTTTCTTGGTTTCTGTAATAAGTATGTTTAATATATTCTGGAAGGTTTTGGGGTTTTTGACATTACTCATATACTTCACAATGCAGAATAAAAACCCCACAAGGGTTTTTAAGGGGGTGTACCAGCCAACAAAACTTGTTCTCAGCCATGGATCACCATTTTGCTCTTAGAAACTATTTTTTTTTCCTTGAACACTGTATCACATTTAGTATTGCAAAAGGGAAAGCAATTTTTACAGTTTCTACTTATCATATTTCATAACAATAAATTAGAGACAGGAAAATGAAACAGAGCAAACAGACTATATAGGCTACCTTTCACTAATACCTGTATGAAAACAAATGCTGCTATATTTGCAGTAAATTTCTGGTATTCTAATGTTTGTTGTTTTTCATAAATAAAAATGAAGAGTAAATCTAGAAGGTGTATTTATACGGAAGTCAAAGTCACTGAAAATTCTGTAAAAACAGAAAGAGGACTGGATGTAATAACGAATGGCCACGTACCGCACCGGTTTTGCCTTTCTGATAATGTTTGTTCTCCTGCTTTTACATTTAGAATGTAAAACTTTAACTCTTTGTCATTGTATCCAACAATATATAGTCTGACCCCTGACGCAAAATATATTGAGTCTAAAAACTTGATGCACTTTTCAGTAGACTCTTTTTTAAATAGATAAATAGGATGTTCAT